AAGTGTACTCAGAAAAGCATCTGCATGGATGCGGGAGCGTGCACAGGTGCTGGGGGCGCTTACAGGAGCCAGAGGGCATGTCCAGGCTGGCTTCCAGCTAGCACAATTCCAGGGGCTCACCCCAGCCAGCTGAGTCACGCTAGAGTTACACACGCAAAACGAGAGCAGATTCAGACCCAGTTGTGCGTATGAGCTTGTGGAGCACAAAGCAGTAAAGTACTTGCTGGACAAACACCAGTGGTTTACACTGCTTTGGCTTTCACATGGGAGGTAACACAGGATCAGGGCTCAGGGCTGGTGTTCCTACGGTTTTGACAGAAGATAAGATTTTTAAGTGGTCACATCTTCTCAGCTGTCCGGGAGAGAGTGAGTAATGTTCCATTTTCCAGGGCTGTCATTGTTCAAAAGTAAATTTTAGTTTTCTGGAGCATTAAATCCTTCAAAGTTTGAAAAATAAATGACAAGACAGATGACCTGAAAATGAAGGTCAGCAAATCAAAAGGACTATGACTACCTTTACAGTAGTTATAAAAACAAAAATGCCTAGATATGCATCTGAATTGTCCCTCCCCCACTCTCCTGTTCATCCATGTGTCTACGAAGTCAGGCCAGGATATCTCCCCTTCCATGAGGCCTACGGAGGACCCTACATAACTTCCAGGAAACTTGGCAGTTAGTGTGACCCTGCCCTAATACAAAACAGGTGACACGGAGCTCGGAGCCAAGCCAGGACAGCCCACAGGGTTTCACAAAGCAGCTTCTGCTCTGTGGGTCTTTGGCCCCGTAAGAGAAGACCTGGCTACAACGCAATAATTTCAGAACTGCAAATTATTCTACTCCACTACTCCTGACCAGCTGAATCATTTGCTTTACTGAATCTGTGCCTGTGCCATATGCTAATGCCAGTAATCGGGATGTAGATGTCTTAGAACCACTGCAGCTGCTCCACTGCTTGGTGAGAGAGTCCAGGGTGTGAGAGGGAGGCAGGAGAGGTGCTGCACCCTTCTGACTCCATCACTGCTAATCGCAGCTCTTCGATCTCTCCCCCCACCCTCCGCCCCCAATTCTTATGCAAACATTTAGAAGAAATAGGCATAAAAAAGGCACAAAACAGGAGACATAAAGAGCGCAAAGCCTCACAGGAGCGCACAAAGCACAAAATGTCTCTTCTGCTCGTTCAAAAGACTCTTCCCAGCTCCTTGAACGAGGCAGGAGTATGTGAGCAGAGATTCAGAGCTCCCCTCCCACTGAGCTCGCAGCTAAAGCCCTCCCCCAGTTCCCAGGGTCTTCAAATGAAGATTTGCATAGTAGTTCCAGATCATTCCCGAGAGAAGGGACAATGGCTCTCTCAACGCCCTTTTCCCCCCATCCCTCCCTCCCAAAGCTGATAAAGCCCTGCTGAAAAGGGGAACAAAGGATTTACAGATGTCAGAATATTGATTTCTGCCGTTCTAGGACTACAGGGACAAGATGAAGAAAACTTTTGCCCCCAGAAACTCTGTGGAGTTTGAGACACAGACGCTATCTCTGCAGGACGAACTCCGCGTTTGTTAAAACAGTATCTGATGAGGTAATATTGCTATTCGAGAGGGACGAGCAGGGCCCTGAAAACGCGAAAATGCACGGGGATGAGATTACAGCCTGCAGTCCCAGAGAGCGCATTTGTTGTTGCCAGAGCTGATGAACGGAGGCACTTCAGCGAAAGCAGTTTGCCCCCCGGCGGGCCGGGCCGGCATTGCTGCGGGCGCCGGCGGCAGCTCCCTCCCCGCTCATCGGGACTCCGCCGGCATCCTGCCCTCTCTGGCACCCAGCGCTGCGGCTGGGAAAGTAACAGAGAGGAAGGTGAAAGTCTTTGAGTCTTTGGCAAGTGGCCTTTGATTCGGAATCAGAGTGGAATGGATTTCCACTAAACTCACTAAATTTAGGGGCTGTTACCCGAAAGCCAAAGCCTTCTGCTCCCACAACATTTCTGTGCGCAGTCCATGTAAACCCAATGTTGCTTTTGCACTACAAACATTCCTTTTCACTGTAGTGCACCAGCTCTACTGAACTCCACCTCCACCAGCTCGCTGCAATCGTTCAAACTGTGCCAGACACCAAAGTGTCACATGTCAGTGCTGCACGCCCAGCAGCAGACTGGTGCTGGGCAGCCCAGTGAGCTTACAGGAGTTCTGGCCTGACCTCCCCCTGTCCCACCACTACTCTGAAACAGCTTTCTCTCTGGGGCTGGCTACTACCACTTTACAGACATACATACATACAGCTAACTCTGTAGCATTTCTGCACTCAAAAAGTTATTGGGATGCTGGATCTTTTGTAAAAATGTACCTGAAGAAAATTTATCTAAATGTTGGATTTAGGACTGGATTTTTAAAGTGATTAGCTATTTTCTAAATCAAGCTCTAGGCTCTCAGATAGGTCACCTGGGGGAAAACCCCACCTGAAACCCTTTCTGAAAGGCACAGTAGTGAGTACAAAAGGGTTTCCCATGCCATGGGTCAATAATTCAGGCAGAGCTGCAGAGCCAGAGCTGACTGTTCCCTCATTTTCCACACAGCTTTTTAAACATGCTATCAGAACTGAATCATCACAGTGATAATAACCATCACATATTGGAGAGTTAAACACATTTCATACAACTACATCAAAACATTGTTCACAATACTCTTAAAATATCTAGGTTTCTTTCAATACCTGCCTGTCTTCCCTCAGCTAAAGAAATTGTTCTTATGGAATCTTTTGTGTCTCCCAGCAGCCACTGCTAATTTACATTTAAAGATGTAATCAGACCCACTAGACTCCTGATACACCTCATACAGATATTAATCACAGCTGCTGGGATGATGAAAACTAAGACAGACCCATTTTAAATCAGTGTAAGTCAGACTGTAATGAACCTGCTCGCACACTCGGGTTCAGGACAGACTTAAACCCCATTTCCAGTTGCTCTCCACAAGCCCCTTAGAGCTACATGGGTGAGCTCCTGGGGCAGCTGTGCTGAGAGGTGCCACTACTGCCTTCTCCAAAGAGCATTTTCCTGACTGTCAGAGGAGTAAAGGTGTCAGGGAGAACCTGGGACAAGCAAACCTTGGCTGCTCTCACCTCCTGCTTAACACTTGCGTGTTGTGTTTTGAGGCTGCTGCAGCAGCACATCTCACAAACCTGTTTTATTTTAGAATTTTTCCTCATCCTAGACAGATGTTTGCTTATTTTGCTGATTCTTTGTTTTCTCTTGTTCATAAACATTAGTGTCTGTTGCTTACTTAAAGTTGTTTGGTTTTTTTTTTTCTACAAACAAGAGTAGTTTTGTCTATATAGCTCTTGCTACAAATTTGCTTTAGGATACAGAACTTAGTCTTAGTTTCATCACCAAAATATTGTACCAAATAATTCTCAGATCTTCTGTTTCCCCCAAAAATCCCCATGCAAATTCCTTTTAAATTAAAAGTGTGATATGTTAGATGTTTCATAAGCCTGAATCCAAAGGATGAAGGTGTGGAAAGGCAAAATCTACCTCCAGTGTGGATTTAGGAGAGCAGGTGTGTGTGCACGTGGCAAGCCCCAGTGCTTTGAGGGCTGTTTTGTACAAAATGCATCATGTCCATGATGACAGAGCACTTGTGCAGGCACACACGTACCTGGGAATAGCTTCTTTCAGTATGGAAACAAAGCTGTCTTTAAACTATTTATTAAATAAAATCATACAAAAGCAAAGTACTGGAAGAGGTAATTGTAATTTGAAAAAATAAGAGAAGAACAAAGAAATCAAAGCACTTTTAACAGTTCACGGTGCCCAGATAAAGTAAATAACTGAGCAATATTTTTATGCCAAGGTGTGTTTCACAACAGCCTTCCAAGGCTCTGGCCATCTTACCATTCCTTTATACTACACAGTTGGACACAAGCCCTGCTCCGAGTGAAAATGGGTAAAGAAATCCTGTTCCCCAGCAGCAAACACATCTCCCCACCACCTTACAGCCATGCCAGGCTGCATTCCTTGGTCTTGGCAACAGAGAAGTGACCAATTCCCTGGGACCAAGGTGTGCACATGACCGACCAACCTCCTCCTTCCAACAGCAACCTTGTTTGGAGTAAAATTCATGTCATTCCTCTCAGACCAGCCCCCACCGTCATCCTTCCCAAAAGCTCAGTTTCTTTACTTTTCTACTGTTACAGTTTCTACATGCACCATGGGAATCCTCTCATTTTGCTGTGGGGTTTTAAATGCTGAAAAATGCACTGTCCACCTATACCAAAAGTCAAACAGCCAACCACCAGGCCCCAATAAAGAACTAAAAGAGAACCTAGATATTTGTATTTCTTTTTTCTGGAAATCTTGTGTTCATTCAAGTGATGTTATTATTTCAGTAGAATCATCCCAGGAATCCATGTAATTAAAAACACATTGATGGTAACAGAACTGCACCATTTGAAGACCCCTTTGATCCCCTCATGCCTGGGTCATCCCCAGCACTCTCCCTGACCCCACAGCCCGAGGACTTTTCACTCTCTGAACTACTCATCACTCTCTACCTGACGGGAGGATGTGGGCAGGTGAGGATCGACCTCTTCTCCCAGGCAATAGCAACAGGACAGGAGAAAACGGCCTCCAGCTGCACCAGGGGAGGTTAAGGTTGGACGTCAGGAGTAATTTCTCCACAGAAAGTGTGATCACACATTGGAATGGGCTGCTCAGGGAGGTGGTGCAGTCACCGTCCCTGGAGGTGTTTAAGGAAAGACTGGGCATGGCACTGAGTGCCACGGTCTGGCTGACACGGTAACGTTCGGTCACAGGACGGACACGACGCTCTCCGAGGTCACCTCCAAGCTAAGCGAGTCCGAGTCTCCGTCATCGCCCCCAGCCCTGCCCGGGCCCGCTCCGCCCTCAGCACCAAGATGGCGCCGGCCCGCCCTCAGCCCACACCGCGCTGACGTCACTGCCCCGCCCCTCGCGCGGGGCGGCGCGTGCGCGGCCCCTCTCAAGGTCAGCGCGGCCGCTGCCGCCGTCGGTTCCGCCCGGCGCGGTTCCGGTTCCGGTTCCGGCGTGCGGACAGGAGGACATGGCGGCGCTCGGACGGGTGTCCCGCCTGCTGCTCGGCGCGGCCGCCCCGCGCTCCCTGCCGGCGCGCGGCATGGCGGCGGCCGCGGCACACGAGGAGGGCGGAGGTAACGGGGCTCTGCGGGGCGAGGGCGGAGCCGGGGCTCGCGGCCGGCGCGGCGCTGCCCTTGACCGCCGGTGCCCTTCGCTGCGGGAGCGGGGCACGGCAGGCGCTCGCGGGAGCCCCGATCCCTGTTACACACCGGGAGGGCAGCCGCGCTGGAGCGTGGGACGCAGGGTTCATTAGTGCCTCGTTAAGGCGCTAATTAACGCGCGTGTCGCCCATGGGCGCCGCGGTGGTTCTGATCGCTGTCCCGCCGCCCCCGCGCAGCCCGCATGTGGAAGACCTTGACGTTCGTGGTGGCGCTGCCCGGCGTGGCCGTGTGCATGCTGAACTGCTACCTGAAGGCCCAGCACGAGCACGAGCGGCCCGAGTTCGTGCCCTACGCCCACCTCCGCATCCGGACCAAGGTACTTGTGCCCGCGGGCGTGCAGCCCCCTCCTCCTGCAGGGCTGCACGCCTTCCCCTGAGGCTGCCACAGCGCCTTTTCCTTTCTCGGCTGCTGCATGAGGTGGCTGTGGTACCAGCTCGTGGCTGGTTCTGAGGCAGTTTGTCACAGCTCTGATGAAGTACCCGTGGTATTCACAGGCCCCACCCCAAAGTGATCCTCCTAATGTCTTGCTGAAAAATGTTTCAGTCCTAGAGCTGCTGTACTTAAACTAAGGAGTGGAGATCCCAACTACTCAAAATTGGGGTCCTCATAATACAGCACAGTGTTTAAATAAGAGCAAAGAGTGTGCTGTTTAGAGACTCTGGCTCCCAGCTAAGGGAGAGAGTTTTCCAGCTCTTGCTTCCTACATCCTGGGAGCCAGCTTGCCTAATTCATCAGCTTGTCAAACTGTGATCATAGAATCATTTAGGTTAGAAAAGTCTTCTGAGATGGAGTCCAACCTTTGACTCATCTCCACCCTGGCAACCAGATCATGGCACTAAAGTGCTACATGCAGTCTGTACCTGAACACCTCCAGGGATGGTGACCCCAGCAGCATGGGCAATTTATCCCAATGTTTAGTAACCCTTTTTGTCAAGAAATTCCTCCTGATGTCCAGCCTGAACCTTCCGTGGCACAGCTTGAGGCTGTTTCCTCTTGTCCTGTCACTAATTGCCTGGGAGAATTGATGTTTGAGTCTGTACTGTTCTTGGTTTCAGGTGCTGGCAGGGATTGTTCAGGAGCTGCCACTGGCTTATTTTCTTTCTTCTTTCAACAGCGTTTCCCCTGGGGTGATGGGAATAAAACTCTGTTTCACAACCCCCACGTTAACCCTCTCCCAACTGGTTATGAAGATTAAAACCAAGATCCTGACAACAGCCAGAACTTTGGCTCTCCCCATCTTGAACCAGAATGTTGAGTGGGAGCCGTTTCTGGGGTCACAGTTTCAGAAACTCTGTTTCCTCTGCGATGAAGCTGAGTGGTGTTGTGGCCCCCGTGTGTACCTGTGATGGGGTCCTTTAAATAAACAGTTCTGAACGTGAGTTTGGGATTTGACTGTTTACCTGAATCCTTAGGAGCTTTTTAGTTCGGTGTTGGCATGCAGCATGAAGGTTTCCCCCAGGACAGAGGGCAGGAGCAAAGGGGTTTGACTGCCTGAATGGTAACACATGTTCCTTTGTCGGGTAACACAAACAACAGGAGTGCATTTGGCATAGGACATGAAGCAATTTCATATTCTTCATGTCTGCTTTAACTGATGACTCTAAACTCACAGCCAGAATAACAGATCCATAGATTAAAATTCAATTTATACACGTTCTCCATTATCACCTTTTGCAGTGTTTATTAACAGTCATGAAGGAGATTTTCTCTTGGTCCCTTCTGGCACAGGGAGTGGCAGCAAAACTGCCTTCACACTGTTCACCTTCAGCTCTCAAATTTTCAGGTACATCAGCACAGATCTTGCTCACCACTCTGCTTTCCATAAAGCTGCATTTCTGTACAAAGTCTCTCACGCAGGTTTTGCAGAAGAAAACACAATTTTGGTTCTACTGCTTATGTCTGTGTAGTGTGTACTGTGTCATGCAGAAGCTGCCTGAAGCAGAAGGGGTTACTGAGCCAACAGCCTGAGCTTGTACAACTTTCATTTTCAAGTTTTCACTCATTACAAGTCAACCATTTTCTAGTTTTTATTCTAACTTCTATATTTTTTGCACAATGTCAGCTCTGTCCCAGCTGTCATTAATGTGGTTCTTCCCAGAAGGTAGAACACAGCAGCTGCTTTGGCATCTTGCTGTTGAAAGGAGTGATGGATGGCAAGAGAGAATCTCAAAGTGGCACTGCAGGATGCCCTTCCCCACGTTTCCATGTGATTATTTTTTTGTCTGCTTACCAGTAAAAGATTGTTAAGACAAGTTTTCCTGTGTTGAAAGTACAAGGCACTGATGGGCACAGTTGTTTTAAAGCTGACAAAGTCAAATTATGTTTAGCCCTACATGAAGATCACAGAAAAGTAAACTGGTTTTGTGTGTTATTCCTTAAAAAAGAAAAGCTACAGAGTCAACTGTCTCCAAAATGCTATTTATAGATCCTTCCCTTAGACCTGCTGCACTTGGCCAACAGCCTGTTTTTTCAGTGCTATATTTGAGCCCTGTGCTGACACTGTAGGAGCCCTCTGCACCTGAGAGCAGGACGTGGCTCACCTGGCTCTGGGACCAGCACAGGCACAACAGCCTCAGGCTGCAGAGTTCCTGATCCTCTGCACAAGGCCCACAGGTCGCACTGTCTGGGGGCTGTGGTGCAGACAGGCCAGCTAAAATGTTGGAGAATGGCACCTTTTTATTTTCTTTTTTAATAGAACCTTTAAATAATTAGCAGTAATTAAAAACAGAGAGCAAAGCTTTCTTTTTTTCCTCACTGTAATTCTAGAATTATGAAGTTATCTTTTGTCCCCAGGCCATAATATCTTTTTTACCTGTGTTGGTGTAAGGAGAGGGGCAAGCTTTGCCCCCTGCCTGTGTGAGGATCAAACCACAGCAATGTGTAATGCTAAAGGAGAGAGAATTAAAGTTCATGGATGTGTCAGTACCTCAGAAAAGGATGAAGTAGCCTCTGTATTAAAAGTGTTCTCTTCAGCTGCTGAGCAGGCCACTTCCATCCCTCCTGGGGGCACAATCAGACTCCACTGCACAGTTACCTACTTGAACAAAATATAACCTGGTTATATTTATTTGAGCCAAGCTGTTGCAGGTCCACTAGTGCTCTTAAACCATCTCTGCAGCTGACACAAAACAGTGCTTAGCCCATCAGGATTCAGCATTACGTTAAACTAATTTCTTCACCAAAATTCAGCAGCATAAGAGATGACAGGAAATACATGAACCCCCTTCATATTCTTTTTAAACACTTTCAAGTGTTATATAAATAAGCAAGAGAAATCAGTCACAAAGAACCCATCCCAGCCCACTCCAGCCAGCATTCCCCACGGCAGAGTACATCCAGCAGGAAGTTAGTTCACATGGATTTGTAAGCCTTTAGATGCTGAACCACCACCAAGTTTCACTGGCAAGGAGGCAGCAGTTACCACATGATCCAGCCTCTGTTTTTTCTTTTAGCTGTTTGTTTTCACAAGCAGAGAACATTTGTCACTTCCTAGAAAGCAGTTAACAAAGGTCTTCTCCAGGTGGCACCTGGGGCACACCTGGTGATAGTGCTCAGTCCAAAGGCTCCTGTTAGTGACTCCACCCATGCAGCCAACATCAAGAGGAGTTCTCAGTTTTTCCTTTACTCGGGCCCATGAACTCCAGGCCCTCAATGGGTATGTCCTTTTCCTTGATTGCTTTCTGAAAAGAAGAAAACCAAATAATTAAACTCGGCACTTCTTTTTAGTGCTACACGAGGTTATTCTTTGGTACAATACACAGAACCACAGAATCAGTCAGGCTGTAAAACACCTCTGAGATCATCCCGTCCAACCTATGAGTAATAGCACCGTGCCAACCAGACCATGGCCATGCCCAGGCTCTCCTTAAACACTGACTACACCTGCCTGGGCAGCCCATTCCAACGTCTGATCATCCTTTCTGTGAAAAAACTCCTCCTCATGTCCAACCTAAACCTCCCTGGGGCAGCTTAAGTCTCTAATCTCTTGTCCAATTCACTTGTTGCCTGAATAGAAATCATTTAAAAACACAACTGACCTAGAAAAAATAGGCCTAAAGGCTGGTTTGAATAAAGCTTCAACGTTAGAGTTGCTGAAGGATGTTCTGAGAACTCACTGAGCTACAGTCGGTGTAACAAACGTGCTGCAGCCTCAACACATCAGCCTTAAGAAGTCGTGTACAATAAAAATAGGAAACGCCTATAAAATATTCATGTCGTAACGGACAGACACAGGGCGAGATAAACCCAGCGCTGCGTGTCGGGGTCTGGTGAGGCCCGAGGCTGCCCGGGCACGGGGCCGCGGGGGCCGGCGGGGGCAGGGAGCGAAGGGGCCCGGGGCGGACGCACCTGCACGCAGAGCTGGTAGCGCTTGAAGAGCTGCCCGCAGGGGTCGCCGGCGCTGTCGCCCTTGAGGAACTTCTCGGCGAACCAGCGGTTGAAGCACTGGTCGTACTCGCGCTTCAGCTCGGTGCACGCCTCGCCCACGCTGTTCATCGCGGCGGCCGCGCCGGGACGGACGGGACGGGCCGGGCGCGCCGCCCAGTGACGCACATCCGGCGCGGCGCTGGCGTCACGCGCGGCTGTGAGGCGGGGGCGCGATGCGCGCGCTGCTCCTCGGGCGGTGGCTCCGCGCCGGGCGCGGCCCCTCACGGGGCTGCCCGCGCACGGCCGGCCGGCACGGCGGGAACAGCGAGCACAGCGGGCAGGGACCGCCCCGGGTAACACCGCAGGGACCGCCGCTCCGCCCCTCACGGGGCGGGCAGCGGGCGCGGGATAAAACACCGGCTGATTTCCCAAGAAAGGGACGGCAATCAGCGGGTCCCTACGCGTGGCTTGGGTTTGATGACCTTAGAGGTCTGTTCCAGCCTTAACGATTTTAGGATTCTTTGTAAACTCCGTTTCTGACGTGTAACAAGTTTCTAATTAAAAGAAAGTAGCAATATTAAACTTGTTAGTTTTTGACTTTTTTGTCCGTATTGATGCCTTTGTACAGCAGAAAGTGTCGGTGGAAGTGCTGGACCACTTGGAGCACCTGGCCCTGGTGGATTTCCGGGACTCGGAGGGCGTGGAGCGGCTGCAGAAAGCGATCCAGTTTGCTGATCAGCTTCACCAAGTGAACACCGACGGCGTGGAACCCATGGATTCAGTGCTGGAGGACAGGTGGAGAACCACAGCAGCCTCCTTTTATCTGTTCATGCATCAAACTGTTTGCTTCTGTGACCTTTTTTTCCCTGGGAATCACCATGCATGCAGCCCCTTTGCTCAAAACGTCTTCCTGTGGCTCTGTGTGGGAGAAAGTTGTCATTGGCATGTGTAATATTTATGTGTGAGCAAAGCAAAGGTGACCTTCAGTTCTTTAATGTGCCTCAATTGTCACACTGCTCCCCAAATGCCTGCCAGTGCCATTCTTGGGTGCTTCAAAATGTTCCAGTACTTGTCTCAGTGTTTATTTAAGAGACCAACACCAGATTTAGAGAGAAGCCACCCTTCCTACTTACTTCCTATTCACAGAACAGCTTGAAGACAACCAGTAATCTTTGTCCTTCAGGTGTCTGTATCTCAGAGAAGATGATGTGACAGAAGGCAACTGCACCAAAGAGCTGCTGGAAAATGCCAGAGAGAAAGTAGAGGAGTATTTTGTGGCTCCACCAGGTATTGACTTGCTTACAAAAATCTCTTAATCTCGCCTGAATTCACCTGAAGAAAATAACCTGCCATAGCTGCATTTACTTTCAGAAATACTAGTCAATAATAGGGAGTACTGAAAGAAATGACTGTAGCCATCTGTGTAAAACAGTGTGCAATTTATTGGTCCAGAAGCAGCACAGAGGCTGACCTGACTCTGCAGTTACTGCACATGTTGAGAAATTCCTTACAGGAGGTCAGGCAGGACGTACTTCCTGACTTTCTCAGGATATTTAGGCAGTCTGTACATTGAGTAAACTGCAGAAACACTTCCATGCCAAAGTGTTCTGCCCACAAGGTAACTTACAGCTGGTCTCACACAACTTGTTTTATGTTTTCTCTCAGGTAACATCCCTTTACCAAAGCTGGAGGAACGAGAGACTTTTCTGCAGGGCTCTCAGTGACAGCCCAGAGCCCAAATGCCCTTTCAGTATTTTATCTGGGGAAAATGGAAGTTTTGTGCAGTCACACCCTGGCATGTATTTTGGTCAGAAGAAGAGCATTTGCAAGACAGAAGAAAGAAAGTGTAAATGTTTAGTAGTGCTGCTGAAATAATCAATGTCTCTGAAGCTGGGCAGCAGCATGGCAGATAACCTTGGTGCTTTTATTTGGCAAAGTGAATTTGCTGTCTGGAGGTGAGAGCAAACCCTTGTCCCACTCTTAATTGTGCAATTACCTCATTATTTGTTTAAGCATCCGTAATATACTCACCTAGATGCATAAAACAGGTAATTACTGTGACACTTGAATTTTTTCAAGGGTATTGAAATAAAGCCTGTATTTAACACCACTAATCCAATCCTCTGCAAAGCTGTAACACTGTATTATTGCTTTAGTCTCAGACTTGTCAAGATCCAGACCCTGCAAATGCTGAAGTTCTGCAAATATACAAGCTCATCCTGTAAGTAATTTAAGATGTGTATAGAAATCATAACAAGGAAAGACTTCAAATATCTATCAATCAATATGATTAATACCACAATCATAATATCAGGTAATTCCCACTTTGAGACTTCCCCCTGATCTGTCCATTTTGGCCTCTTGCTTTTACCATCAGACAGAATGGGGACAATATTATTTACACAGAAAAACGAAGAGGAATTTGAGAGGGAACTGCATGGCTGCAGGAGCTTTAAACCCAAAATAGCATCAAGTAACTATTTAAAGGCAACAACTAAACCAACAATTTGGACAAGATGATCCCACATTCCCAATGCAGCACAGGCTAAACTTAAAACTGCCAGTTCAGTGCTGCTCCCACACACTCCTGGGAGAGAACAGACTGCCTGATGCTTGTTCCCTGCAGCCCAAACTGCATTTAAAGTGGAAAACACACATCTCCCTAATGAAGGGGTTTGGTGCAACTTCACCACAAATAAGGGAATTATAGCCTTGACTCAGACACCTGCAACCACCAAAAAGAAAAGCTCACAGAGGGCAGATGAGCTGCCTGTGGGGCAGGGCATGTCAGTGCCTCAGTGGGTCTAACAGGGTGGTGCTGAGCCCCAGGGGATGGGGCTGAGCCCCACTGGGCCCTGGCTGCACTTCGAGAGAGGGAGAGACATTCCTTGTGCTGGTTCCCCTCATTCACTGCAGCACTCAGTAAATGGATCCAGTTTCTCTGGAGACCATGGGGATAACCTCGCTTAGAGCTGCTGACATTTTTCCACCACCACAAAACTGTAGATATAAAATTGGATTGGAAGTCCTCGCACATAAATCCCAGGTTTACAAAGAAAATGTCAATGTGGAGATTTCTTCACCTTTGTGAAAAGAAAAAGAAGATGGAAGTTGTTTTATTGGTAATAATGATTATTTTATGTTTTGATGTTAACTAGGAGGCCCAGGAAAAAGCTGTGTTAATACAGTGATAGGTTGTGCAACACAGAGTGAAAAACCACCTCATGAAAAGTGCTTACAGCCTAAATGGGAGAGCAATCTCATGAGATACCTTATCCATTACCCAGTTTTCTTCAGCACCTCCTCTGCCCCAGCTATCATCTCCTGTGTTTATTTGTTCTGCCTTTCCCTGCAGCTCTGTCCTGAGGGAAACTGTACTTTTATACTCTTGATTAACAAGTAGGACTCTGATGTATCCCAGCTTTAATGTTTCTCATTAACAACGTGTATCTCACCCACACTGACATTTCCTGCAGTCGTCATCACAGTTGTTCCTTCAGCAAACCATTTAATAAACGCAGAGAAATTTGCCTGCAGCTACCAAACACAACCACCTCCTCAGAGGTTCATGGGTGTTTCTGAAGTTCAGTGGAAGCACTTGGAGGATTGTTAAATGGTTCCATTCTGTCAGCACAAAACTGTCCAGTACTCAAAGAACTGCTGCAACTGCTGAGATACTGAACACAGTTCTGGAAATGAATTACTTACTGTGGCCCCAAGACCACTCAGAACTTCTTCATGTTTCTAGCACACAAGCAAAGTTGTGAACTGTATCTCTAACTGGAATGCTAAAACCTGTGAGTCAGAAGTTATTCCTGAGGTATTCTAGAGTGACAAAAGTAAACATTTCGCAGTTTCAGTATTTCTGGGGGCAGTGTATTCTTCTGAGGTTGCCTTAGAGTTTGCAGAAGCAAAGAGTTGCTTGCAGTTATGCTGCTTTTGCTCTGAGTGACACTGAGCAGGTAACTACACTGTATGAATATGCAAAATATTTACATTGCAAGTGAGGTGAATGACTGCTCTTCGGGTGGGTTTTTTTAAGATTTCTACAAGGAAATGGGAGTCCTACCAACCAGTATTTAAAAACCTCTTTAAATCATCCTGTGCTGTTTGCTGTAGCCATGGTTCAGAGTCCTGTAATTAACAGATCACCAGCTGTGGAGGACTCAACAGCAATGTTCTATCTGCTGACAAGAGTGTAAGCAGAAAGTGCCCCAGGGAGAGTGAAACTAAGAAAACAGAGCACTGAGGTTCTACCAAAACATCTTGCTTCATTTCAACAAAAAAACCCCAAAACAAAACCAACCCAACCAACCAACCAAAATAACCCCCAAATCAAACAGAAACAAATAAAAAAAGGCAAGAGCTGCAGAAATAGTGAGGTCTGCAACAGATGGTGTAAAAGTCTGATAGATTTGGTTCACTGAAGGAACAAAGTTTGCAGATGATTGATCATACCCAGTAAACATGGGTCTGGGGTTTCTATCAGAGGTCACTTAGTGTGACCTGAAAAGAGACAACTGAAAACAGACCAGAGAACAGGACAGGTGGTCAAGTGCCATTCACAAGCTATGGAACTCCTTCCTTTGACATGGGTGGGCTTCACTCCCAGTGAAGGGTATGTTACTGAAACAGCTGCCCCAGGTAATATCCCAGTATTCCTGCAGAAATCACGTACTAGTGAAAGGGATATTCGCAACAGGAGCTTGTTCCAAAGAGAAACAAAGTCTGCTATTGTTTAAACTCAGCATCTCTGTGATCCCGGCTGGGGCGAGTAATAAAATGGCTTTTGGGGCCCACATATCAACTATGGAAAGGTGTGTTACAGAAGCTGGTGGACACATTACAATGCCTTGGAGACTGGGCATACTTTAAGGAACAAGTTTTTTATCCAGGATCACCTGATGATGCCACACAGAATCACAGAATTAGATTAGAAAAGACCTCTGAGATCATCGAGTCCAATCGGTGACCGAACACCACCATGCCAACCAGACCACGGCACTCAGTGCCATGTCCAGTCTTTCCTTAAACACCTCCAGGGACAGTGACGCCACCACCTCCCTTGGGCAGCCCCTTCCGTTGTCTAATCACCAGTTCTGCGAAGAAATTCCTCCCCATATCCATCCTAAACCTCCTCTGGCACAGCAGACCAGTAGCACAGGAGTCAGGACTGGAAGCTTTCCATACAGAGCCCAA